CGGTCGGAGTTCAGTTTGCATTAGTTAACCAGCGATGCCTCAAAGAAAATTGTTGGCGTCATTTGATCTTCTTTTTCCCATGACTTGTATGAACAAAATACTTAGTCCTGAAGTTCTGAATGAATGGATTTCTGGGGTTAGAGCTCACCGTAAGCAGTGCTTGTTGCGTGAACCGTGACCCCTACCATCCGCTCAAGTAATCCTAGGTCAACCGCAAACTGTTGAGACGGACGGCTAATGCACCAAAACGCTCGGCACTGCCCGTCCTGCCCTCTGACGTCACCTGACCTTTTGCGTGACCGCAGTCGCCAGCCGCAGGCTGCCCGGTCGGGAACAAATAGCAAGCGTTTGAAGCGATTCGAACTCACCCCGCCACGGGCGGATGAATCGAAATGTAATTGAACTAGCGGGACGGACGAAAGGAGTTGCCGCATGAGTAGCAATGATGCGATTAACACCCATATTAAGTTTGATTTCGGAAGCATATGTGACATATAGGGTGGTGTACTCCGTATAACGCAATGGTCTGAGCTGCATTCATCGAAGTCAGCTGCATTGAAATGACTTCGGCATTAAAACACGTAAACCTGGAGTCTGAAGCGGAATTGGTATAAAATTACGCTAATCTGACTGTAGTCAGAACCTGAATCGGCTCCGTGAGCTACGAGTCAGAGTCAAGATCAGCCACATGGGATTCGAGTCAGAGTGGAATCAGTTCCGCACAAACGAGTTCAAACACCGTCCCTTCCTGTCAAGTCCGTCCCGATAGCCCAGTTGGCTAGAACACCTGCCCTCTGATTCTACCTGCGAGTAACATGGTAAGTTCGAGTCACTTTAAGCGCTCACTTCTTGCCCCTGATAGGCATGGCCTGCGACCGGTGGCAACGGCCGCGTTAAAGGTCAGGTGACGTCAGACGGCAAAATGGAACGTGCCGAGGATTGCAGCACATTAAACTTTCATCACGAAGTTCATCCATGGACCTAGAATTTCACGGTCGGATGGTAGGGTTCAGGGCTTACGCAACAAGCATTACTTAGCGTGAGGTCTGATCTCAGGTATCCATATATTAAAGATGTCAAGAGTTAATCTGAAAAAACAGCACAAGTCCACCCCTTGTGCCTACTGGCATTCACTGTTCGGGGATTTCTAAAAGATTGAACTTATAGTTGGGACCGCCTCACAGCGAGGCCCATGAGCCGTCTATGGGAACGCCGATGACGAAACGCGCACATGTCTAAAACCTAACTTCACATTGTAATGCTCCTACAATGTATCCGAGCACTTGATCTGAATTTCAGGTTACCCACTTGCATGTCTGTTTTGCTCTCGCAGTGCGGCCGCACAATTCTGGGGCGCGAGGCCCAAGACTGGTGGCTTGCGTGTCGCTGCTCTTGACGCGGTGTGAGGGGCTGCATTCGGCGTCTGGTTGTGGCGCTGATGAATTAAGATTGATACACTAGTCAGGCCTAATGGCTGCTCTGGTCGTTGTTCACTCTTTGCTTTAGGAATGCCAGAATGGATTCAGTAACCTACCTTGCGCATTGCGAGCGTAAAGTTGGCCTCGACTCAGACTTGCACAGAAAAATTGAAACGGGAAAAGGTTTCAATGTTTCAGTGCGTAAACGGGAAAGGAAAGACGGGAAATATTGAAACCTGAATGTCACGTGAAACTTGCTCAGTGTTTCAGTGCATAAACGGGAAAGGAAAGACGGGAAATATTGAAACCTGAATGTCGCGTGAAACTTGCCGCGAAAATTTCGCTACGAATGCATAAGCAGCATTAAAGGATCTGACGGACCCAATTTGTCATGTAGCTAAGTCTCCCGTAAAACTTAAGTGATGGAAAAACCGAAAGCCTTCTAGGAGAGCAGTGCTATGCAAGTTTTAAAAAGTGAAGGATCTTTTAAGTGTTTGCTGAAGTCATATCAGTCGGACTTTCAAAGTTTGTGGCCCATAAATGCCACCATACGTGGGTTCATTCGACTTATCTTACGGCAGCTGTCTTTCATCGCCGTGTTTTCATTTTGAGTGAACGATTTATGTTGGCTGGCCAATAATTCGCTTCATTAGCGTCACCCAGAGTAGCGATCTGAACGGACTTGGGAACGGAACGGACCTTCCAGCTCGGTCGGCCACGCTCGCATATGCCATTATACGCCGCCTAGAGGGGCTTGCTTAGCGACGAATGAGCCGGCTTTTTGTCAGGGGTGTGCCTGTTACATGGATACACCACTGCTCAAACACGGGGGCTCGGCAAGTCTTTTGTTGCCAAGCAACGTCCCTAGTGGAGGCAATGAATAGCGCTCAAAGCCAGGAAGTTCACCACTCGGCGTAATCGATATCTGCCGGTTCGGCACGGCGAAACGCTGCCGGGCATGGCTTCACGACAAATGGCGCACTCTGAGTCTGAGGGCTCTGCAAGCATCAGCGAGCATGCGCAGTGCAAAGGTCAAAGCAGGGGGAGAGAGAGGGTGGGGGAGAGAGGGAGAAAGGGAGGGAGGGAGAGGGAAGAAAGAGAGAGAGAGTGAGAGAGAGAAAAGAGAGAGAGAGAGAGAGAGAGAGAGAGAGAGAGAGAGAGAGAGAGGAGAGAGAGAGAGAGAGAGAGAGAGAGAGAGAGAGAGAGAGAGAGAGAGAGAGAGAGAGAGAGAGAGAGAGAGAGAGAGAGAGAGAGAGAGAGAGAGAGAGAGAGAGAGAGAGAGAGAGAGAGGAGAGAGAGAGAGAGAGCGAGGGAGAGAGAGGGGGAGAGGGGCACGAGGAAATCGCTTCCATTGTATAATAACTTAAGGCACAGGTGCCGACCCACATCAATGATGTGT